AGTATTTCCTAAAGTCAAATGGCATTCTGCATGTAAGGATAGATCCATGCCATCCATCGTCAATGGTCTGACAGAAAGAGCAGTCCAAACTTTTAAAGTAACAGCGTACAGCTTCATTCAATATCAAACCTGCCCTGGTTCCTGAGATAGTAGGAACTGCAGATGCTGTAAAATCGGACATAACAAGGTGTAGAGCTGGATGAACACAACAGGCCAAGCAGCATCATAGGAGCAGGAAGGCTGACGTTTTGGGCCTAGACCCTTCATCAGAAATGGGGGAGGGGAAGGGGGTTCTGAAATAAATAGGGAGAAAGGGGGAGGCGGATAGAAGATGGATAGAGGAGAAGATAGGTGGAGAGGAAACAGACAGGTCAAAGAGGTGGGGATGGAACCAGTAAAGGTGAGTGTAGGTGGGGAGGTAGAGAGGAGATAGGTCAGTCCAGGGAGGACGGATAGGTCAAGGGGGCGGGATGAGGTTAGTAGGTAGGAAATGGGGGTGCGGCTTGAGGTGGGAGGAGGGGATAGGTGGGAGGAAGAACAGGTTAGGGAGGCGGGGACGAGCTGGGCTGGTTTTGGGATGCGGTAGGGGGAGGGGAGATTTTGAAGCTTGTGAAATCCACATTGATACCATTGGGCTGCAGGGTTCCCAAGCGGAATGAGTTGCTGTTCCTGCAACCTTCGGGTGGCATCATTGTGGCACTGCAGGAGGCCAAGGATGGACATGTCGTCTGAGGAATGGGAGGGGGAGTTGAAATGGTTCATGACTGGGAGGTGCAGTTGTTTATTGCGAACTGAGCGTAGGTGTTCTGCAAAGCGGTCCCCAAGCCTCCACTTGGTTTCCCCGATGTAGAGGAGGCCACAACGGGTACAGCAGATGCAGTATACCACATTAGCAGATGTGCAGGTGAACAGCTGCTTGATGTGGAAAGTCTTGGAGCCTGGGATGGGGTGAGGGAGGAGGTGTGGGGGCAGGTGTAGCACTTGCAGGGAAAAGAGCTGGGTGTGGTGGGGCTGGAGGGGAGTGTGGAACGGACAAGGGAGTCACGGAGAGAGTGGTCTCTCTGGAAAGCAGATAACGGTGGGGAGGGAAAAATGTCTTTGGTGGTGGGGTCAGATTGCAGATGGCGGAAGTGTCGGAGGATGATGCGTTGGATCTGGAGGTTGGTGGGGTGGTACGCGAGGACGAGGGGGATTCTTTTTTGGTTGTTATTGCGGGGACGGGGTGTGAGGGATGAGTTGCGGGAAATGCGGGAGACATGGTCAAGGGCGTTCTCGACCACTGAGGGGGGGAGGTTGCGGTCCTTCAAAAATGAGGACATCTGAGATGTACGGGAGTGGAATGCCTCATCCTGGGAGCAGATGTGGCGGAGGCGAAGGAATTGGGAATAGGGGATGGCATTTTTGCAGGAAGGAGGGTGGGAGTCGGTGGGCTTGAAATGGATATTGGTTTCTAGGTGGTTGCCGGAGATGGACAGAGAGGTCCAGGAAGGTGAGAGAGGTGTTAGAGATGGTCCAGGTGAACTTAAGGTTGGAGTGGAAGGTGTTGGTGAAGTGGATGAACTGTTCGAGCTCCTCGTGGGAGCACGAGGCGGCACCGATACAGTCATCAATGTAGCGGAGGAAGAGGTGGGGTTTAGGGCCAGTGTAGGTACGGAAGAGGGATTGTTCCACGTAACCTACAAAGAGGCAGGCATAACTTGGGCCCACGCGGGTACCCATGGCCACCCCCTTTGTCTGTAGGAAGAGGGAGGAATTGAAAGAGAAGTTGTTGAGGGTGAGGACGAGTTCGACTAAGTGGATGAGGGTGTCAGTGGAGGGGGAACTGGTCGGGCCTGCGGGACAGAAAGAAGCAGAGGGCCTTTAGGCCATCTGTATGGGCCAGGTGTAGAGGGACTGGACGTCCATGGTAAAGATGAGGTGTTGGGGACCGGGGAATTGGAAGTCCTGAAGGAGGTGGAGGGCGTGGGTGGTTTCACGGACGTAAGTAGGGAGTTCCTGGACCAAGGGGTGAAAATGGAGTCGAGATAGATAGAGATAAGTTTGGTGGGGCAGGAGCAGGCGGAGACAATGGGTCGACCAGGGCAGTCAGGTTTGTGGATTTTGGGAAGGAGATAGAAGCGGGCGGTGTGGGGTTGGGGAACGATGATGTTGGAGTCTGTGGGTGGGAGGTCACCTGAGGTGATGAGGTTGTGGATGGTTTGGGAGATGATGGTTTGGTGCTCGGGGGTGGGTTCATGATCAAGGGGGCAGTAGGAGGAGGTATCAGAGAGTTGGCGTCTGGCCTCGGCGATGTAGAGGTCAGTGCACCATACTACAACTGCGCCCCCCTTGTCCGCGGGTTTTATGGTGAAGTTGGGATTGGAGCGGAGGGCTGCACGTTCTGCGGGGGAGAGGTTGAGGCGATTGATGTCTCGACGGCAGTTGGAGATGAAGAGGTCAAGGGAGGGTAGGAGGCCTTGGGGTGGTGTCCAGGAGGAGGGGGTGTGTTGGAGGCAGGAGAAGGGGTCAGTAGAGGGAAGGTTAGGTTCACGGTTGAAGAAGTAAGCATGGAGGTAGAGGCGGCGGAAAAACTGCTCAATGTCCAAACATGACCGGTATTCGTTGATGTGTGGGTGGAGGGAGACAAAGATGAGCCCTTTACTGAGGACTGACCGTTCGCCATCAGTAAGGGGGAGGTCTGGGGGGATGGTGAAGACTCGGCAGGGCTGAGTGTTGCTGTCTCCTCTGGAGCTGCTGGCTGTGGAGGCTGTTTGTTTACAGGACTACCCCTCAAGCAACTACAGGGGCAGCTGAGGCAAAGTTGCTAATAGGGAGAAAACTCCATTCAGGTTAAACTACCACGGCAGTAAGCAGAAAATACTGATACAGCAGGTATGGCCACATTTGTGGAGAACCAAAGGCAGCTGACATTTTAAGCCTGTGGTCTTCTAGCAGATACTGTTTGCATATTTTCAGCTCGTCCTGCTTTTTTTTTTTAAATTTCAAACCTCTGCAATTGCATTTCATCCAGTCATAGCTGCTGGTGGATAATTAAACAATGAACAAGAACAGGAAGGTCCATGCACATCTCCATTTGCAATGATAGGGGAGACTGGTGGAACTTGAACTTCTGTCTCCTGGTCCCGAGATAGGGGCATTGCAAGAGCCTAACCAGTAAACAGTGGAAGTTTCTGCAGGTTCCTTTAGGTTACTGTGCATATGCAGTTAAACAAGGATCTGTGCGCTAAAATGAATCACCCACTCACTCCAAAAGAAAATGAGAGGGTATGTTGATCCCAGATGCCACTCCTCAGCTAATTCCACTTACTCCATGTGTGATCTAAAAACTGGACACAATGCATGCACAAGGATCAGACTGGCTCCAGAAGTAGCATACTGCCCCGTGCAAAGACCCAACAAAGCAGAATATGTTCAGATATGCCTTGTCCACAGATAGCAGGACAAATCCATCCAGAAAATTGCCACTCCCTCAGCCTACTCTTAACCAACACAATGGAAGATATCATTAACAGTACAAGATAAATCATAAGTGGTACAGAAAGTCCAACCATTCTACAGCCTGTGTTTATATGCCCCCCATTTCCTATCATATTTTCAAATTTGTACCTGCTATAATAACCATTTCCCTTTTCCCTTATATGCTTGTCCAATTTCACCTTAAATGCATCTATAGTATTAGCTTACAGGGCAGTGGTGATGTAACTGTAATGTCATTGGGCTAGTAATCCAGAGTTCCAGGCCGATGTTTTAGGAGAACAAACAAAAATTGTCTGAGAAACACAGCAGGCCTGGCAGCAAAGGTAGAGAGAGAAAGAAGTTAATGTCTTGAGTCCAGTCACCATGGTGATATGACATTTGTATCTGTTGAAAATCTGAGATCAAGGAAACAGCAGAGGCAGCTTCATTAAATATATTTAAGGCACAGTTGGATAGATTTTTGCAAGGTTTTTGGGGATAATGCAAGTGGGAAGAGCTGAGACTACAGACAGATGAACGATAATCTTATTGTAAGGTGGAGCAGGTTCAATGGGCCAAAAGGCCTACTCTTGCTTCTATCTCTTATGAACTTATAAAACCTAGTCTAATGGTGACCGTTGACCACGGTAATGGTCATACACATGTTAATGTCCTTTAAGGAAGGAAATCTGCCATCCTTACCTACTCTTACTACATTGTAACTCCAGACTCATGGCAATGTAGTTGACTCATAACTGCCCTCTGGCAGCAATTATGGACAGGTAATAAATTATGGCCTAGTCAGTGATGCCCACATCCCATGAATGAGTTAAAAGAACACTCTGTGATACCAAGTTGCAAATTCCTACTTATTGTTGAGTGAATAGGTTTCTTCTTGGTGACCACCTGCCATTGATGGCCTCTAGCTGCACTCTTTCCATAAGAGGACACATTTGTTCTGTATCCACTCTCATTGAAACCTTTGAAAATTTTAAATACTTTGAAGTAGGTCACATTTTCCACATACAATGCTCACTGATCTTGGCAAGATAATGAACCAGAGGCATCAGGACACTCTGGCATTTCAACCAAATTTTTCACTTGCAAGCTGACAAAATGAGTTTGGGAGATGTTCAAAGTAAGGTAGACTGAATCCTCACCTGCAGAGGCTTTCCATCATTACAATGGTGGCTCCACTTTAAACTGTAATTTACTGGCAGAAAGATGCTTTGGGATAGCTAGTGGTTGTGAAAGATGCTCCAGCAATAGCAAAACCTTTCGTTTCTTTCCGAGCAGAGGGTCACAGCAATCAGGTCAAACACTCAGACTGTTTTAGTCCAGCACACACTGTCTAACTTTACATCTGATCCTGTTATCCAGCGGAGCCCATTTAAGTGTACATTGGCAAAGGACCAAATCTGGTGCAGTCCTTGTCTGTACAGTCCAGTTACCGGTTTCTCTTCCTACCATGGGTCACTCCAGCAACTGTTTAAAGATCCTTATTCACAACCATGGTTAACATAAGGAAACACAGATAGAGGCCGTTCTTTAGACACTTTGATTTTATTATGATACTGTACTGCTTGTACCTGAATCATTTTTGCTAAGGTTGAACAAATTATGATTTTATTAACTGATTGTACTGAGTTATGGCATAGCAATAAAACAAATCAGTTAACCAGCCCGCACTGTCAGGGGAGGGTGGGAGAACAAACTGATTCAGTGAACTGGTATTGCATTGTATAATTAACCACCCAGGCCTCTTCTTCCATGCATCCTCCACAAACCTTCCCGACTCTGAACTGTAGGTCCAGCTTCCATGTAGCTCAGAAAATGAATTAAATTAAAAAAGGCCTAGGGCTCTGTTTGAGTTTACAACTTGTACCAGACATCAAATTGGGTAACGGGTCTGAAACTGTCACGCATTCTCTTTAAAAGTACAAACATTTAGTGATGTAATGGCGTCTGGACCACAAAATAGCCGAGTGCAGCAACTTGAAACAGGACCAGAGGATCCATATTAGGCAACCCCTCTCATCCAGGCACACAGTGTCTGCGGCACACATTTTTATGCACTTGGCCAAAGGAAGATGCTTACATACACACTGTTGCAGATTCGGCCTAATTTGGGTTTTATGGTTGAGATTCAGCACTTACACAAGGTTAGATGTAGCCGTTAGGGTAGTGCACACTGGCTAGAAGTGGAATGCAACCCGCAGAAAGGATAAAGGATGTGATCTGAGTATGACAGAGTCACCTCTACCCTGGCTGGTGCTGTCCAGGGTTTAGATCATCAAACTGCTTCACGTCAGTGTATCTTAGTGTCTGCAGTTCTGTTGTATTCATTTGGGGGGGGGGGCGGGGTTGGGAGAGGTTGTTCACACTGTCTCACAGAGCTGCCCATACAAGTAGAACAATGTCTCCTAAATTATACATGGAGTCTTTCAACAGATCCATTCCACTGGATGGAAAAACTAAGCAGCCGGTGAATCAGAGATGTAAGGCAACACCAAGCCTGTCAACACAAGGAAGGGACAGTGGGTTCAACTGAAGAGCAGAAATAAGTGCAGATATTAAACTATGGATTTTAACCTTGATATAATTTAGAATGTTAAAGGACTTCATCTGTTCTCATTGCTTAAAATACTGTATTTATCGCACTTTACAATATATTGGCTATTGATTTCAAAATCTAGCCTCCAATTTCTTGACCTTCCTTTGTTCTGTTTTGGTCCACCCAAATGGGGTGCAGTGGCCCCTCCCAGGGTTTTGGCTGAACATTTAAACAGAAGGCAGTTCTCAGGAAGGTTATTCTGTGACTCAATGCTCCACATCTCAAATAAATTGAAACACAAGCACAGAGGGGGTAACAGGAAGGATGATACACTGAACAAGAGGGAATAGGAAAGAAAAGAGAAGATTGAGACCAGGCTGAGAGATGTTGGGGAGGGGGTGGAAAAGAGAAAAAAACAGACAGACAAGAGAAGGAGAAAGCAGCGGTGGTAGGGAGAAAGAGACAGAGGGGAAGAGTGGGAGAAAGAGACAGCAGTGGGGAAAGAGAGACAGAGAGAAGATACATAGTATCGGGGCGTGGCGGGGGGGAAAGAGAGAGATGGGGAGGGAGAAATGGAGGGGCAAGAGGGAGGGTAGAGAGAAAGACTAGAATGGGTCAGATAGGGAAGAAGGAGAGAGCGACACAGGGAGAGGAAGGGGTTGGTGGGGGGGGGGGGGGGGGGAAGAGAGAGAGATAGGTAGTACAGTGAGAGATGGTTGCAGGGTGCACAATAGGAGGAGTGGAGAGGGACAGACAGTGGGGTGGGGTGAGAAAGTGGGCAACATGAGGAGAAAAAGCCAACTTGCAGCTGGGACCAGATTTATTACTCTACTGCAACAATTAGCATGTTAAATTTAGTTTGAATTCTGCTTAGGAACTTGTGATTTATGCATTCTCAATGACAAAGTACTGTTTGTACATAACCAGAACTATACAATAGAGTGGAAATGTATTATTGTCCCACCTCTGGGCTCTTTTCAGCACCTCCTATTAATGGCAACATAGGAGAGATTTGGAACTTTGGGATGGAGTGCAGAATTCAATCCAAATCCAGTACATAACATGCTGGATTATCAAAGAGTTGCACTGCCTTAGCCATGCAATATCCTCCATAAAATTTCACTTGGAAGGAAAGTTAATGTTCTGTGCAGGTTTCTAGATCATTATATCCTTTGGATTTCAAGCAGCTATCACATGGTGGTGCCATTAACTGTGCTGGGAACAGGGATTACAAAGTGTATCCTGTGGGTATTGCAGATGCCCCTTCCTTTCCCATGTGATTTCTGTATATCAATGTTTGTTGGACTGTGTCGGTATCTGCAGTAACACAGCAGTAACACTCTGCTACTTGAGGATAATCCTGAACTAGTCACAGCTTCCACCACTGCTGGAGAGTTTCAAATCGGGTCACGACATGGCCACTTTCTATTCACACTGAAGGAGAGCTGGAAATGCATAGTGGGTCTGCCAGTTTCTGACACAGAAAGAAGCGAGCACCTGCTCTCTTCCTCCCGTTGGCTGACAATTCTGCTGAGAATTTCCAACAGTAAATGTGACTTTTTTCTAGCATTAACTGATTGCCAAAGTCTTTACATGAGTAACAATGGGAGTGGGAACGCAGACTGGATGCTACAGTTCACAAGCTTCGATGTGCGCTGACTGCCAACAGTCAGCAGACCGGGACTTATACTTGGAGGCTTGTCCCGGCCAGTCCAGGGGTCACTGCAGCTCTTAAGCAGGTGCCACTTGCAGTCACTGGTAGCTGACTGATGCAAACATAACAGTGGTATGAGGAAGGAGGAGGCATAGAGGAAGGCACAGGAAGCTGAATGCTGCTTCTGTTCTCAAGGGGAAATAGCTTCCGCCTCTGCAAATTAAAACACAAGGACTTCAGAATGTTTACCTCTCAGCACTGGAAACTAGTAAAAATTCACACGCATACAATCTCTCCATAAAATTACTATTCATCACTTGGCTGGATTCTCACCAGTCTGTCAGGTTAGTAAAAGATAGCAGTTTGTTTGATTTCTCACTTTTTTTTGTACATATTTACAAATTCATCTATAAAAAAATAGCACATTCAAAAAGAAACAAACAAGGATTCTGTGCTCTCCTGGTAAACATTATGTACACGTCATTCAGAGGGAAAAAGGCTTCTCCATGATTTCACTTCGGCTATTAAAACAACTCTAAACCCTTAAACATCAAAGTCTTGCGACCTGCCCTCCCTCCCCTGTCCACTCACTGCAGCCCTTCCCTCCCCCAACCCACACCAGTACTTTCATGGTTACCGGCCCCCAACAACTGGGGGCTGAACCAGGCCTCGGCTGGCCTTCTTGCTGGGGGACGGTGAAGGCGTGCTCGTATCAGTTGGAGTCTGGGGTGTCCCTGGGACACTGTTTGACATGCTATGAGGGGAGCTCAAGGGGGAGGTGCTCATCATTCCAAAGGTGGCAGTGCTCGTTGGCCAAGAGAGGGGAGACTGCCCAGGGCCACTTCCTGTCATACCTGGAGATTCAAGAAAAACATATCTTGAGATTCAAAAGCAAAAACGAGTCAACAATCACAATCAACAAAATTAAACTCAAAATCATCAACAGTTTCACAAAAGTGGGAGGGATATTAGTGTTGGCACATTTGCATGAGCACCATATTGATTGTTGGCACCAAGCAAATCTAATGTAGGCACAAGTTAGGTGAAGCTTTATCTACACTGTCCCCATTCGTGCACTCCCAGGACAGGTACAGCACACGGTTACATACAGAGTAAAGCTGCCTTTACATTGTCCCAATCAAGCATCCTCCGGAAGGGACAGCACAGGGTTAGATACAGAGTAAATCTCCCTGAAACACTCACTGGACATGTATAGTAGAAGTTAAACAGGGTAAATTTCCAAACACTTCTTAATAACATGCAGGAGTTCAACCTCACCCTCAAAAACATAAAAAGAAAATAAACAAATTAATTTAATGAGTTGCACATTAATCTATAATGAATAAAGCTTGCTCGATTGTGTCAACCATTTTTTCTACTTGGAGCATAGTCAATCACTAATCAGGGTGCTTTACTTCAAAAAAAGAGCAGCCAAGCTATCAGGAAGGATTCAATTGCTTGCTCACTGCACCCCTCATTTAATATTCCCCCGGTAACCCTTTTATCAACATGCTGTTCCTGGGTGCTGCAGGGAAACCTAGTCTGGTTGGTCATTTAAAGACTCATCATTCATGACATAACTGTGACCAAATTCTCAGTGAGATATCTAAATGGATGAACAAAAGTGGGAATTTTGAAGTGGGTTCAGTGAGGAACCAAGTGTCACCAAGGTGGAGACAGGACAGAACATCTGCACAGGCTAAGTATGAGTCAAGTCAATGACAAATACAATTAGAGAATGAAGAGAATGCAGTGCCAGGAGAACATGAGTCAACTGAGAACAGAGGCGATCAGAGAATGAAAACCCATAGAAGTCAAGTCAGGATAGATGGAATAGTTTCATCTCAAATATTTTGCATCTAGCCAGAATGACAAGAAGTAGGCCAGACGTCAGCTACAGCAATGCAATTCTGATTAAAGGTTCTTTTTAAGGAAAGCAAGAGACATCTTTATTATTTGCTGCACTTTTATGTATGATTTTAGGTTCATTCTCTTGTCTGGAGTAAATATATCCACTTGTTGGTGTGAACCAGTGACTTGGTTTAATAAGAGTGTTTAGTCAGTATAATTTTTGAAAAAGGAGAATCACACAATCAATTTCACTAAATGCTGTAAAGCAAGGATTCTTTATTGGGATCCCCAGGCCATACTTTTGATTACCTTGATATTGGACAGTAAAATGATTACAGTCTCGATGGTTTATATGGACAAACTAACTTCAGACAGTAAATGAAACAGTTACACTTGCTTTATATAGCTCAAACCATTCTCACTTTTGTTGAAAATTGAAGTATGAAATTGCACCCAATGCTAGTGAGACTAATGGACTTTACTTCAGCCACGAGGAGTGAGGTTAGTACAAGTGCGCAAATGATGACACTACATTGAATCTTTACGGGGAAAGAGTGTGCTGCCACTGTTCCAAGGCAGACACTGTTCAGAGCTTCCATCTAATCCTTACCTTTCGATACACTGTACCCGTATGCAGCATATGCAGCAGCTGAAGCTGCTGCTGCACCGGCCCTGGCACCTGCCATTGCTGCAGCACTGCCAGCAGTAGACTTGCGGCCTCGATTTTTCCCTGAACCTTTTGAGGTACTTCCAGATCCTTTTGGACGGCCCCTGCCCCTCCCTGACAGGCCTATATTAGTAACAGATTTGTCTTGTGGAACACCTGAAAAAGAAGGAGATTAATACATCACCGCCCAGGCTATAAAAAAAAACAGAAATTCAGTTCATGAATGTTCTACTAAGGTAGACACCCTGAAGTGTGTCCACATTAACAGCTGGGATCCAAAAGCCATCACAAGGCATTGTAAACCACTGACAGAGGTTTTTATTAATTGTCCTCACATTGCCTAGTATCAGAAACTCGGAGCAGGAGCAGCCCTTTGAGCTCACTCTGCATTCAACATGATCATGGCTGATTCTCTAGCTCAACAGCACATTCTTGTTTTCACTCTATATCCCTTTATACCTTTACTATCTTAAAAAAAAACACTATCTTGAATATATTTAGTGATTCATTCCTCACAGCCTTGTGGTAGCAAATTCCACAGGTTGACCATCTTCAATGAAGAAATCTTTCCTCGTCGCTGTCCTAATGGTCTGCCTCGGATCTTGAGATGCCGTCCCCTGATTCCAGATTCTCCAGCTAAGGGAAAACACCCTCTCTCTATGTAATCTGTCTAACTTTTTAGAATTTTATACATTTCAATCAAATACCTTTTCATCCTTCTAAACTCTCGTGAATACAAACACAGTATCCAGCTGGCAAGAAAAAGTCTAGGAATAATAAAACTGGATAGACTACACAACATACTGGCATTGCCACTGCAACAAAATCCTAGAACACCCAAGCGGCTCAATCACCTCTCCACGGCAATGAAGAATGTTGGGCTTGCCAGGTGATGTCCATATCCCATGAAGGAATTAAAAAAAAACAAATGCCTGTAGATACTCATATGTGGGCAGATGTACAGACACATATACAAGCAAATATACAGTCACACACATACGCAGGCACATATATAGAACTACCAGCAGGATATGAGAAAACAATTCACGAAGTGCTGAAGGGAAGATTACAAATTGACACTTTGGACTGATATCACAGTTGAATTGTTCTCCTACCTCCCACTAATCCCCAGCTGCTAATTCTATTTATAATCACAAGCTTGAGTGGTACAACAAAACAAACAGGAAACTAGACAATTAAACAGTACGGGTGACGATCACTGCCCCGGTGACTCAAAGTCACGCAACGACATCCGACTTTAATCCAAGGTTACAAAGTAACCAACTATGTTCCCAGCCACACATTTGGTGCAAGGATGGGTTACTTAATGCACCGAGAGCTTCCTGTTCGTCATACCATTCACATGGTCTGAAGTTGAGCCTGCAATGGAGACCGGGGAATTGGTTGCTCTCGACTGCGATGCTGACATTGGGTCGTCCACAATCACAAGGTCGCTGCTGCTTTCATCGGGTGCAATCGATCCAGTGTGCTGTTCACTGCTCATAGATATCTGTGGGGGCAGTAGGTAGAAGTTATATTGCGAGCCAGTTTGCTTCTGCAGAAATCGCTAGATCTCAATAAACGATTGCATGTAACTCTATTATGGGAGTTCTTGCACAACATCACTTAGACTGAGCAGCGACATGGATAAACAAGCATTAAGTTGGATAATGTACTACCAAGGTGATAGCATGTTACTAAGGTAAGAAAAGGTAAAGGTAAAGTCATCATAGTCCCAGAGGACCATAGGCTGCTCTCTAATTAGACACATTATTGGTGGCAGTTTAACGTGAGGCTTACCACGCCTCAGGCGAGGTTGAGAATATGGAGCCTTCATGGTAACATCAGCCGCTGCAGGAACTGAACCTGCACGGTAGGCATCACAAATCAGCCATCCAGCCAACCGAACTAACAGGTCACTGGACAATATGTCAGTAACATTAAAGTAAGTATGCATTATTAAATAAACAAGGATCAAGCTGATAGGAAATTTTCATCTCAACTTCACATTGATGGTCACAAAGGATCAAAAAGAAGAGTCACTGTTACAATTAGATGTAGTTATGACTAAGTTCATAAGATGTAGGAGCAGAATAAGGCCATTTGGCATATTAAGTCAGCTCCGCCATTTAATGAGATCATGGTTGATCTGAATCCTCAATTTCACTTTCTTGCTTTTTTCCCATACCCCTTGATTCCCTAATTATAAATGCGTCTATCTAAGCCTTGAAAATATTTAATAACCCAACTTCCACAGCCCTCTGCAATAAAGAATTGTACAGATTCACTACTCAGAGAAAAAATAACTCTTCATCTATGTCTTAAATAGACAATGTTTTATTCAGAGATTATGTCCTCTGGTCTTAAAACTTGCGCACAAAGGGGAAAAAACCTCTCCGCAACCCTTGAATCAAGCCCCCTAAGAATCTAGTATGCTGTCAGACTAACTTCTCAGCCTTCAGTTGCATAACAATGGTCAAAAACACCTTTAAAATGAAAAGAATCAAGTCCATTTCCAATACAAGAAAGCATAAGCCACATGAAGTTGTTGTGAAACAGCACCCTTTTTAATTAGCAATATACACTGATTGCACAGTGTGCTAACCCCACATGATGCGCACAAATCTTTTACATGGGCCTCTCCAGTCCAGTCTAGTTCTTTGCTAAGAATTTTAAGGAAAACAAAGTGAAAATGTATTGGAACCAAGGACCAGAAGCAGGATGAATCACAGACACAAGGTGGGTTATCACAACTTCTGAAATGCAAAACTCCCCTCTATGCTCCAATGCTTTTCCCTTGTTATTTTTTGGCTTTTTTTTTTGTTTCTCATTCAGCCATCTTTTTCTTATTTCTTTACAGGGATCCAAGATTTCCAGAATACTCTCTTTAAATAATGGCAGTCATATCCCCTTTTTGATGGTATACCAGTAATACAATGAATCCTTGATTTTTTTTGACCTTCCAGGTGTTCTTTTAACATATGTTTTTTTTTGACAGACACACTTTTTCCCAGATATTTTCCTTCCCACAAATACTCCATCCAACTTTGCTGAAAGGTTCCTTCCTTCAGTCAGTCTTATTTCTGTGGCGGGCAAATTATTGGAGAGGATTCTGAGAGATAGTATTTATGATTATTTGGGAAAGCATAGTTTGATTAGAAATAGTCAGCATGGCTTTGAGGGGGGCAGGTCATGCCTCACAAGCCTTACTGAATTCTTTGAGGATGTGACAAAACACATTGATGAAGGTAGAGCAGTGGATGTGGTGTATATGGATTTTAGCAAGGCATTTGATAAGGTTCCACATGGTAGGCTCATTCAGAAAGTAAGGAGGCATGGGATTCAGGGAAATTTGGCTGTCTGGATGCAGAATTAGCCGTCCAATAGAAGACAGAGGGTGGTAGCAGACGGAAAGTATTCAGCCTGGAGCTCAGTGACCAGTGGTGTTCCACGGGGATCTGTTCTGGGACCTCTGCTCTTTGTGATCTTTATAAATGACCTGGATGAGGAAGTGGAAGGGTGGGTTAAGTTAGTTTGCCGATGATACGAAGGTGGGTAGAATTGTGGACAGTGTGGAGGGCTATTGTAGGTTGCAAGGGGACATTGACAGGTTGCAGAGCTGGGCAAAGAAGTGGCAGATGGAATTCAACCCGGAAAAATGTGAAGTGATTCATTTTGGAAGGTCGAATTTGAATGCAGAATACAGGGTTAATGGCAGGATTCTTGGCAGTGTGGAGGAACAGAGGGATCTTGGAGTCCACATCCATAGATCCCTCAAAGTTGTCACCCAAGCTGACAGAGTTGTTAAGGCGGCGTATGGTGTGTTGGCTTTCATTGGTAGGGGGATTGAGTTTAAGCGCCACGAGGTTATGTTGCAGCTCTATGGTCAGACCACTGTGTTCAGTTCTGGTCGCCTCATTATAGGAAGGATGCGGAAGCTTTAGAGAGGGTGCAGAGGAGATTTACCAGGATGCTGCCTGGAATGGAAGGCAGGTCTTGTGAGGAAAGGAGCTAGGGCTTTTCTCATTGGAGGAAGAAGGACGAGAGGTGACTTGATAGAGGCGTACAAGATGATGAGAGGCATAGATAGAGTGTATAGCCGAAGACTTTTTCCTGCGGCAGAAATGGCTATCACGAGGGGGCATAATTTTATGGTGACTGGAGGAAGGTATAGGGGAGATATCAGAGGTAGGTTCTTTACACAGAGAGTGATGGGTGCATGGAATGCACTGCCAGCAGTGGTAGTAGAGACAGATACATTAGGGACATTTAAGTGACTCTTGGATCGGCACATGGATGATAGTAAAATGAAGGATAGTGAGTTTTGATCTTAGAGTAGGATATTAGGTCAGCACAACATAGTGGACTGAAGGGCCTGTACTGTGCTGTACTGTTCTATGTTCATGTCTAAATTCAGTCCTCAGATATATGCAGGGAAAGGAAGTGACTAAAGATAGGTCTTCTCATAATGTCAGCTGGGCCAACAGCTGAACTGTCAACTGCTTTAGTATGGAGTGAGCCTCCATCCTCATGCAGTATTGAGTGCTGGTTCCACCTCCCAATCTACTCCAAGAACTGTCTGGCACACAGTCCACTGGCCATCGTGGCCTCACTATTTTTCCCTGAATGCAGCCCTGGTGCCATTGCAGACAGATACACAAAAATGTGAGTGAGAACCTTGCAGCTGGTTTTATATCTTGTGTCCCTGTGCTGATCCATGCTGAGCTCCTGCATTAGAGGCTCTGTTTTCTATTACCTCACTGTAAGGGCTAGGCATGGCTGAGTCCACACTGATGAAAGACTCTTCCCCATCCGCTGACAGGTTTCCCGAGGACATGTTGGAATTATCAGCAGATGCTAATGAAGGTGTCAACAACATAGTCCATCCCTCTTTCCTTCGCTTCACAGCGTTCTCTCCATCTTCTTTCTTCTTCTGTCAAAGACAAAGTCAACTTATCAAAATGACAGTCTTTCAACCACACCTAATCTTGTGGCACACAGCCACCAGTGATTCCATGAACCGGTAAGACATTCACACACCCACAAGACAACTCAATTCCATTCCCTTGGCAGCTTCAGCACAAAATTGTAAGCAGGTTCACCAATTCTGGCTTGGTGCTGTGTACAGCTGCAGGCATGGATCCTGTAACCAAATTGTACCCTCCTAGTCTTAAATATCTGGAGTTCTTGGTCTGCTGAAGGATGATTTCGGATTAGTCCTGTGGTGCTGTACATTTGAAATCTCCAAGCAAAGCAGGGCAAGAAGCCAGGATAAGTAGCGTAGGTAAAATTCAGTCAACATTTAGAAACTGTGCACACAGTCCTCGTTTCCCACGTTTATAATGTAAACTACATGTTTAAACCGACCTTGTTGTATTGGTGCTTTCGGACTGCAGCAGTGATATTGCACATACACAGATAGCAGAGTGTAATTCCTAGACAGTTTCTATTATTAGATACAGGCTCAAGAACAACTTAAACAGGAAATTTTGGTCAAAACTGCTTTCAAATGCTGCTAATTACCTTCTCCAAAGGCTCCCTCTAAGTGTCCACACTGCCGCAGCCTGCATGAGGAAGCAAGGGAGCTTTCCTCTGAATCTACCCCTATACGTACCTGCCCTGGGAGAGTTTGATGGGCCTGTGTTGAGTAGAGGGTGCTTTTATTTCGCATCAACTCGACTTTACCAGCATTGAGAAACCCTGATGCTGATACTAGGTCCTGAAATCTTGCTGTGCTGACATTCCTCACCTTGATAAGGACCAGAGCCAGACTTTTTTTTAAAAACCCATTTAAAGTATGCATCACCAGAAGTCCTAATTAATTCTTGTCTAATTAGTATTCTTACAGGGTAGTGGAAAAACAAATGGCTAAAGTTTGCAGAACCAGCTTTTTCTTCTATTGTGGGACTATCTGAAACTGTGGGGGAATACGTGTGTGAATACATAGTTATGAAAGAGTATATAAAAATGAGAATATGTATAGGAGAGTTGTTCTTCTTTCCACATTGTGTGCATAAATGACTACATACAAAAGTGAGTGTGTAGGTGAACCTGCACGTAAACATGCGCTAGTGAGTGTGCTCATTGCCATGTG